ATTGCCGAAAAGCCGAATTGACGAAAAGCGTCAAACCTAAATCAAAAAATGTTTTTTTTTGAGAATTGCGTGTGTATATTCAGATTAGTTATGACTTGTTACCTATTATTATGAATAATAAACGTTTTTCTCTCTCTCTCTCACTTTACAACCCTTCATCAATCAAAATTGGCAGCAACTGACCGATTCTATAGTTGCAAAAATAGAATATAAAAATAGAGTCATCTTATATGATATAAGTAACAATCGCCAGATAATATGATGTAAGAACAAGCTCGTCACTGCTCAATATCATTTCATTCCAGTCTAAATGATGATATCATGTGTACAGTACTACAAGGTGATTCCAGCATCATATCAAAATTCAACGATGGTTCACTAAGTTTTCACAACCTCTGCATCTTCTCGTTAATGTAAATCTATGGGAACATCAACTTCATTTCAAACAAACATGAAAATAACGTGTTCAGTATCACTTTTAAATGCAACCCAATTGTTCACATACGCTCTTCCTTGCGTTCTGAAAGCTGTTTGTTACACAAACTTCATTAATAAGAAAATACCTTTGCGACATGACTGTCCCGAAGCTTGTCGTTAATATAAATTATTGGGAGAAAGTTCTTTATGCAGTTTTCTTGTTCTCGGTTACACATGATTGACTCGAAAGCTCGATTAATTTTTTCTACGGGTGTGACGACTAACTGAAAAATAGAATTCGTGATCTATTGAAGAAGGTGATTATTGTTATTATTACCTTGAGAATCATGTCGAATAAACTAAAACAGGTTTGACAAGAAAACTTTCCGCTTACTATTGTTGTTCCATTTCTTGCTCTGGAGTATAACAGAAAAGTAATTTTTAAAAACATAAATTCCTACCTGTCAGGGCAAACTTTTAGTGCTTGAGAACACATCACATCTCGAGAAACATTGCTATCTTCCCTGGGGAAGACTTCAGATTTTATTTGTAAAATCACTATTTCCGCCACATCCCATGCATGTCTGCAATTCCATTTCATCTCTATGTGTTCGTTGCAGAACGCAAAAACAAGCGGTCTGACATTAGTTAGAAGCGAGTCAACTGCCTGAAAAAATGTCAATTAGCATATAACAAATTGTGAAACACTTACAAAACCTAGATTCTCCAGGAGATTTGGACAATCGTCACACTCTTTTGCAGTAACGACCGAACTGGCCATTTGAACTAAAATAAAGAGCCCAACGAGAATTTTCATGATAAGTTTTACTGAAAGGAGAAATTTAGAAAAGAAATAAATTCAGAGAAGATTAAACAGATAACAGTCTGTGCCTTTGGAAATTAATTAAACATTTTATTCCTCATGGTAGATTTACTATGACCGATGGATGTTCGCAATGCCAAGTTATCTACTGCGTATTTGTGATATTCGAAATGTTGGCGGGAAAAGATTAAGATTATCAATGGTTATAGAACATTTTCTTTGACCCACTCAATCCTTGTCGTTTTCATATCCATCTTCTCACTCACGATGCTTTCCTGGCGACGTCTTTTCTTTTTCC